GGAAGTTGCTTCATTTTCATTCTGTTTGTGGTTGCATTCTGTTATCATTCTGTTTTCAACCTTCTGCAATAAGTGTCTATTTTAATGAGGACTGCTGGGGCTGATCTAACTACCAGAACATCTTGTATGCAGTAGACAGAAGTGCCTTTTCCCTTCAGAAGTGCTGGAGTGCTCATTTGCATCACAGATCCATGACCACACACACTTAACAGGATGGATCAAAGTGCTTCTAAATGCAATTACAATACAATGCCTTGTAAAATCCAGGGCATCCCCAGAATCAGCCCAGGTGTAGCTGTACCTGTCAGTCTCTTTCTGGATTGCTGTAGAAACACAACCCAAAATGCTTGGTTTTTTCCCCACTGGGGTTGCTTAGCAGGGCTTGCAGGCACGAGCTGCAGCAAGCAGGGTCATCCAAACTCCTGGGCAGGGCTGGGGATCCCCTGCCTGGGGAGACCCTGGGAACAAGGGTGTCTTTGGTGCTTGCTAACACTCAGATGCACCCTCCAGCAGTTCATAGCCATGGAGGGGTGCCAAGTGCCCCTGTCTCACCAGCTTCCTTTCTGCTGCCAGGGTTTCCTAGCCTGGGAGGAGGTGATCAGGGAGCACAGATACAAAACAGAGGCAAGCTTTGTGCCTTGAGCAAAGAAAAAACCTCTGCAGCTCCAACAGGGTTTTGTCTCTTTTCCCCTTCCTCTTGCAGTCCCTCCATCTTCCCCAGCCCTTGTCAACTGTTTGATGTTAAGATCCAAGCAGGGCACATTCCCAGTGATCCTTTCCCTTTTCATCACTATCAGCAAAAGAAACAAATGCATGTTTTTCCCCCATGGTGTAGAGCTGGTGAACTCTTAAAAGCCTGTTTTCTTCTCTAAGAACTGAAATCCCTGAGGAATCTGCCTCCCTTGCATCTTTCTTGTGTTGAGGTGGAATCGGTCACATTTTTTGCAAATTACAGCAGTTGCTCAGAAAAAAGAGCAAGTTCTGGACAATTCATAGGCTTATGCAAAAACAAAAATAGTAAATCAGTCTCTAGCTGTTTGGACTGTGCTCTTTTTTTGTTGCACACAAGCAACTTCCATCACCACTGACATGCAAATAAAGATATTTGGCCTCAGTCTTTCCTACACGGAGAAAACCCTCAGCAGTGCCACGTATCCTACAGCCAAGGCTGGTCGCATGTCAGACCATGTTTTCTTCCCTAGCTTCAGTCCATGCAGGCTGAGAAACCCACAGGATCCCACAAGTCCATAGACCAGAGCTCTGAAGATGTTTCAGCTCAGTCCTGCCTCAGGTGAGCTTTTCCACAAGTTATTTTTCATATCACAGAAGTGTTGTAACTACAGAACTGTAGTGATGGAAACTGAGCCTCAGCTGCTTTAGTCTGTTGTTAATATACAGCAGGCAGCTCACAGACACTGAAAATGCAGTTTAGATCCCTGTCCTTACCCAAGCATTTTCTGCATACCAAAATTAACTGTGGTCAACAAAGAAACCTTGGATTGGTCAACAGTGAAATCCTTTAAGCAAATGCACAGATGAATCACTGTGCCAGGTCTAGGGAAGGGGGAAAATCTGCATTTTTAGGGTGCATGCTCTCTGCAGGCCCAGAGGACTCGTGAATTCCATGAGCTCCTGCAGATTCCCCCTTGGCAAGGATGACTTAGGGAGGTGCAGAAGGGGCTGGTATTAAATACTGCTGCCTTGACTGCTGGCACCATGTGGTTGTGCTCCCAGCAGAGCTGTGCTCCGTGGTGTGATCCTGAAGGGAGTAGGGAGTTGCATGAAGGTCTGAAAAATTCAAATTAGGGCTGTCCATCTAAAACAATAGCCCATCTCATGCCTCATGGGTAAGGCAACTTATTCAGCTATGGTGCGTTCAAGAATGGGATGGCAGGAATGGGAAATTTCCATTTGTGGGTTTGAAAAAGGGATTTTAATAGGGCTTGGAGAACTGTCATGAAAGAGGACACTGCAAATGGTCAGCAAAATGCAGGCTGAGAAGGGACTTCTGGCAGCAGACTCTCCTGGAGGACACAGGGCAGTGGGGAGGGGAAAGCCATTTCAGCAGAGGATCAGGCTGCCTCAGGGACAGGCAGAGATGGCCACAAACTCCTTTGGGCTGGAAAACTGAAGCTAAAAAAAGGTCTTCAGAGCAGGCCCTTGTTTCTCCAAGGAAAGTCAATGGAAGGATAAAAAGGCAGTTCCTGCCGCTGTCAGTAACACAGTAGGCTCCAGGAGGTTTAGGAAGACTCCTGGCAAGAATGACAGAAGTTCTCTGCCTGGAGCAGCTGAAGCAGACATTACCAACTGCAAATAACTCACAGACAACATAAAGCAGCCTCTCTCTCTCCCTCTCTCTTTCCCTCCCTCTCTCCTCAGCACCTGGCTTTGCTTTGGAATCTGTTGTGGCTTCCCTTTGAGATTTCTGCTGGTCACCACATTCCATCTTCGGTCCTACACCTCCTCAATCCGTGGGCAAGGGACATCCTCAGCCTCCAGGGCTGGGTAGCTGGAGAGTGACAGTGCCATTTGATCATCTGATGACATAAGGTGGGGAGCCCATACCCTGACACCTTCCTCCTGGAGCCCAGCAAGCAAAGGGTTAATAGTTTCAGCCTGGTGTCTTCTCCAGGAAGACCTGTGGAAAGGGCAAATCTCATCTTGCTCTATGTGCCTCTGCAGCAAGCTGAGGATATTTCTGCAGTGAAACAAAGTGCTGCTGGAACAGGAGATGTAGGGACAAAAGTCTCCAAATGCTGGCAGTGGCACCAGGATTCTTGGTTTTTTGGCATCTGACTCAAGCTTTTAAGTTACTCTTAGGTCATGGTCTTTATGGCACAGCCACAGCATTGCAAATTGACTTTTTCATACAGGAAAGTTGAGATTTTTCACCTCCTGACCTGCCTTCAGGAGCTGGGGTTTTAACTGCACCATGAAACATCTTGGGATTTCCAGTGTAATCATAAGAGCTGGCAGTAGACCTGACACAAGTAGGAAAGAACTGCTTTAGAACATGGCTTAAGACTAAATGCTAAACTTCAGGTCTTGAAGATTCTCCAAATCTGGTTTTTCTGTTCCTCTTGCCTCCACATTTTAGCACCTTATGTTATGTTGCCTATTAAAGTGTCCAGAGTTGATCCAGATGAGCAGTGGGAGTAGCACATCAGCAAATGAACCTTGCAATGGGAAAAAAGAAAAACTGTCTTGCACATGGAAGTTCAAGGCCCATTGGCTGAGCTCTGGAAGAGGGTATCCCTTTTCCAGGGTACAAAGCTTCTGAATCTAGTGCAGGGCACTGGTTCCTGGCAAAGATTATGCAGTTTTGGAGCAGGGCTGGCCTTGAAAATGGGGTATCCTGCCCATGGCAACACCTGAATTGGAGGGACTGGGATTGCCTGGTGCTGTCTGAGAGTGCTGTTTGTTGGTCTGGTCCTATGGGAAATGGTGGCGAATCCTTTGGGCTTGCAGCCCTTTCCTCAATCCCCTTCTCAGCCAGCACTGTGCTGAGGTAGGCCTCTGGTTTGTTCAGAAATTGTATGAGATGTCTGGAAATGAGATACTTGACAAGGCACCTGCCACAGCCTGTTTCTCCTCTCCAGGCTGCTTTGCTGTCTGGGGCCCAGTTTAGGCCACCTCTGACATTTCAGTCTGGGGGTTTTCTGGTCTCCTCTTATGGATGCTGAATGCGAGAAAGCAGGCAGGGAGCACAGTGCCTGTGTGAAACCAAGTCACATAACTTTCTCACACTGGCCTGAGAAAGTGTGGCCTGAGAAATCATAGGAGTCCAAACAGTCCTTGGAGAAGGAGAACAACCTTTGCAGGTGTTATTTGGATCCTTGTCATTTACTTGCCAGAAACAGTCTAGGGGTGGTGTTCCAATTGACCAATGATGGTGATGTGTTGGTTTAATGACCAATAATGACCTCTCAGACCTTCTCAGACCTGTCTATAAAAGAAGATCTGGAATAACAAAACTTGCCCCCTTTTGCAAGCCAGAAGTGAGTACGTGTTGTGCTTCACCATTCCCAATATAAAGCAATATCTTCTCAGCCTCTTGTGGCACTTTTCTACCTGGTTGCTATTTGGAAAACGTTCTCCTTGTAGCTCAGCCTGTCCCAGCTCCAGAGGGAAGGGACTGCAGTGCCTGAGATGCTGTTTGGGTCTCAGGTTTCTGTTTAATACATGCCTGTGGTTTGTGGCTGTCTGAATGCCTCCAAGGACCCCTAAAAACCAACAACTCCTGCTGCTGACAGCAGGCTCCTCTGACACTTCTCCCTGCACCTTCCAGTCTGGGCCATGAGCTCCTGCCCTGCCTGACTCTGCTGTGCAGCCAACCTGACAAACACCAGCACCAGGAACCCCCCTCGATGTGGGGCAGAATGCCAGCCCCTGGGAGGGATTCCTTGGCTACTGCTTTGGTTCCAGGATGGAGTGGACTGATGGGTCTGCTCCAAACCACACCTGTTATTCTTGAAGCCCCTCTGCCATACTGCTCCTCCAAGGGCACTATTTTGGGACCCTGCCCTGTGCTAGTCTGGCAATGAGTGCCCCAGAATTCTGGGGATTAACCTGAGGTACTTCATCCACTGGTCATATGACACTGAAATCATCCAGAATCGACAAACAGAGAGGTTTGGAGTGAGCACTGGCCTTCTCTCCCATCTGTGAAGCTCATTAAAGGTGGCTTTTAGCACCAAACCAGACATCCCATGAAAAGCTAAGAAAACACTAAACGTCATCTTAGCTGTGGAAGCAGACCCTTGGGCACATCCTCTTGCAGCCAGCCTTCCTAGGAGTCCTCTCTCCCACCCATACGTGGGCTGCAACATTGGCTTCTGCAGAAAATGTTCCCTGGAAGCTTGTTCCGTGAAACCAAGAGAACAGTGCCTTTCCATTTCCTACTCCAAGTGGCTATTCTGGGTTAAAAAGCAACTGGAATGTTAGGAATTGTTAGGAGAGGAACAGAAAACAAAGCAGAGCCTCCCTATAAATCTGTCTCAAATGTGGTGTCTGCTTCAGCCCTGCTGTCTCAGGCTGAATTATCAGAGCTGCAGAGGTGACCAGAGGGCTGGATCAGCTTCCAGGCAGGGGACAGGGAGACACACAGAGACTCTTCTAGAACAGAGGTGAGTGAGAGAGCACACAGCACGTGTCTGTGAATTGCCAGGGGCTTAAGGGAAAGAATATTCACTGATAATACTGCATTTTAGAGGCACAGAGTCAGAAAGCAGCCTTGGTGCCCAGCTGGTGGGTGACACGGGGTTCCCGTGGAGGCTGATGCTGTGTCATTAGCGATTTGTGTTGGCTGAGCCCTGCCTGAGGGCACAGCTGGGCAGAGCCTCTCCAGCAGGGACAGACTGACAGGGACAGCACTTTCTAGCCAGGGCTGCCTTTTGCATCAGCCCCTCCCATTGCCCTGATGGAAGAGCCAGAGCAGGGAGCTGAGCTCAGGCTCTTGCTGCAGAGATGCCCTCCCCAGGGTGCAGGAGAGCTGTGCTGCAAGGCTTGCTGACCCACCAGAGACTGGGCTGGCAAGCAGGCAAGAGAGGGACAGGCCCAGGGTGGTGGCTGAAGGGAACAAGACAGGGAAAAAGCAACTTCAAGGGACAGAAAGAGGAATAAAAAACAAAAGGCCATTAAACACAGTGAGACCGTATCTGGCCAAAAAGAAACAGTTTGCCAAATCCAGTGTTCGTCAAGAGAGGAACATTTGCACAACTGAACTTCTGCAGTGAAGGGACAACATTTGCAAATGAAATAACTGCTGGCCCCGCAGAGCCTGTGAACTGCATTGTGGTTTTGTGCCTTTTCCAGGCAGCACTCCAGTTTAAGGAGTGAAGCACCCCAATGTGCTGCTTGGGAGCTGCTCCCTGCAGGTGTGCCCTGGTGGCCTCTTCAGTATAGGCAGTAAGTAAGGCCATGTCAAGCTGAAAATAAACAAAAAACCAAAAAAATCAAAAACAAAAAAAAAAAAATAAAAATAAAAATAAAAATTATGGTTCAGTCTCTGTCACTGTCAGACACAAAATGATTCACATGGATGCAGCTCAAGGTGTGGTGAAAGAAGAAGAAAAGTTTATTTGTTCTTTCGGTATTTATAGGTTTTTGACCATGACCAGGGATTGGATAGTCAGGCCACCACCTTCTCAACCACACTGGTCGTGAGAGATGTCCATCATAAGGCAAATCTTTAATGGAATGTATAAACACCTATGTTTATAGTTACTTTCCTGGGAAAATGGCTAGAAATTATGAAAACAACATTGAAAAGCCTGATTCTCAGGTCAACATCTCACCCTGTCTGTCTTTTTAAAAAAGAGAAAAAGAAAAGAAAAATGAACAGAGAAAACTAACAATACCTTAAACACTCAAAAGCAAAATAACAGAGAAAAACAATATTTCAAACAATAGCAGAAGGTTTTTAGATTCAGGGTGATAAGTCTCCTCTTGCCAAGTGCTAGAATGTGGGCACTTAGAATTGTTCCAGGTTACTGTGGGGTTGGCTTATGGATGTTGGAGTCACTTGTGTGTCTGTACCAAAAGGCTTTTCCCATTTCCCAGTTAATTCACAACAATGAGAGCTCAGATTGACAGGTTTCTTAATGTGAGTGTTCCTGGCTTTATAAAGAATCAGATTGGAGGAAGGCTTTTCTCTTCTATATTATTTCAAACCAAATTATGTGTTTGTCAATCTTACACAGAATAAAAATGTTAGCAAGAAATTGGAAAGATAAATAATGTAATATTAGGAAAAAATTATTTCCTTTTCTGGAATAAATTAATGTGATTCTTATATCAGTATTTATATAAATATTCTTATAATAAATTGACTTGTATTCAATTTGCAACACTGTAATCATAAATCAAGTTTTGAAGAACACTAAAATAGGAATTTATTTTTGTAGGACCTAACTGTTTTAATGAGGGCTTGGACAACAGCAATAAAATTGGAGACAATTCAGGAATCCTGTTCCTGGTTGTAAGAGAGGAGCAGCTGCCACATTTGAGTGAGCCCTTTGAATCGCCAGGCATCAGCTCAAGAAGTGGAGGAATAAGGAAGGTACAGCTGTTCCCAAATATATAGAAATCTGCTGAATTTTATGATCTTTGATCACCTCAAAGAACCATCTACACAAAAATTTTACAGACCCCATCTCTTATGTGCACAAGTTTGTATGCACAGGTGAGTACAGGCACATATACCTATGGAATAGCATTTTTCCAGTTGCTTTCATGAGCTTCAGATTTGGCAGACTTTTACCAAATCGGCTCCTGTGGGGTTTTACAAAAAAATATATTTACAAAATGTACTCCTAAAAGATTTTGAACTATGTCCTTAAAAACAAATTCTATGTCATCTCACCTTACTATTACCATTTAGAGAAGGCATGTTGAAATTCACCTCTATTTGTCCTTCACCCTGAGCATTTTCCAAGGTTCAGTGAAGTCAAAAAAGAGACTGTTGGTGACTTGTCAGGGGGCTGTGGCTCAGAGGCACACTTTTCAGTAACAACTGCATACCCCATACCAGAGACACTGATTCCCAGTGCTGAGACAGCCATGTGGCAGATTGTTCATGTTCTTCAGTGTAAAATGCTTTTTCTTTTTCATTCATGGCTTTCCCTTTTTCCAGTTCAAATAATTTAAGTCTTGTCTTTGCTCAGTCACACATTAAAAATAAAAGTTTGAATATTTTCTTTTGAAAAGTACTTTTTGAATTATGTTTAAGGCTTGAGAGATAGGAAGGGATGTATATGTTCACCATTAAAGTAATTCTTCCTCTTGGGCTTTGTTCCAAGTGTTGATAATATTAGACTAGCTTGGTACAGAAGCTGGAAATTCAGCAGGTAGATGGGCCTCTGGGAGAGGTGGTTATTATTTTCTGCACTGATGAAAAGCCTTTAAATTAGCAGGTCATGTGTGCTCTGTAAGCTTTAAAAAACCTCACTATAGTGGTGAGCATGATGGCACATTGAGTGGCTTTGTCCTGGAGGCACAAATAAGAGAGCCCTAAACTGATTACACATGTGCATGGAGTGTGGTTATTCCTGAAAATAAAGACAGCCATGACTCAGGTATTGAGTGTGGCTGGGTATTAAGAGAGTAATAATCACTTGCTGGGAGGCATAATTCTGTTTAAAGCAAGGGGTTGAACACAGGAGCACACCTCAGGGGGTAGGAAGTGGTGGTGGCTGTCCCACAGAAATAAACAGGCTGGAGCCTGCAGCACCTTGTGTTTAATACATTTAATACAGGACAGACACTGCTGAGGGGCCCTCTGCTGAGCTTCAGGCTGTAGGGCTTGGACAGGCAATGTACACACAAGAGAGAGTCAGTGGGCAAAAAACCTGAGCAAAGCTGTAATATCAAGAGTTTTTCCTTCCTGGAACTGGCACTTTCATGCCTGGGGATCGAGGCACGCACAGATTGCTGACAGCAGAGTAAACTGAGCCAAATGCTGAGACTACAGCAGGAAAACAGGTGGAAACATCCCAGCTGCAGATACAAAATCCATGGAAGGGACCAGGGTTTAATAGATTCAGTGAGGGAGCACTAAATACAACAGAAAAATATGAAAGAAGGGAAGGGAAGGGAAGGGAAGGGAAGGGAAGGGAAGGGAAGGGAAGGGAAGGGAGACCCAAATGCAGAGTTCTGCTGCAGAACTGCAGAAGTTTTGCAAAAGCTAAACAGTTGGGAATAAGAATATAAGGAATGCAGAGCATACAGGACAGGGTTGAACCCCCATTGAACCAATCACAAGCAGCACTGAAAACATGTGAGAGCAGAGAGGGAATTGCTGAAGGGTCAGTAATCTCTGCCTGGACAGAGCCAAAGTAAATGATCTGGCTTTTCAGGATGCAGCAGTCAGGAGAGAGGACAGTTCAGCCACTTTCATTTGCTCCTGTTTGTGTCCCAGGAGTGTGGAACCAGTGGCAAGTTCTGAGATCTCACTGCTCTCTCAGTGCCACAGCAGCAGACAGCAGGAGGGACAGTGACAGTCATCTCCAGGCCCCAAGAGATTCAGAGCTGCCAGCACCCATCATGACCCTAGGAGAAGGTAAAATCTTGTAACTGGGCTTTTTTTGGTTTTCAGCAATTCCCTGTGCAGCTCCTGGGGTTCCCATCTTGGTGTGTGCCATCTGGGAGCAGCAAGAGCCATGAGCTTCTGCAGCATGAGAAAAATAGCCCTGGGTAGGCTGGGAAAGCACCTGGAAATAAAACAACATCATGCTCATAGTAAATAATTCAGATATTACAGTCATTTTATTTTAGAGGGCACAGGAAAATGTGACCTTTGTATTTTTATTGAAGATTTCCTCTGACACTTTGGGGAAAACATTTGAAGGGTGAAATAGCATTTACTTTTGTACATGCAAGAATTACAGACAAGCAATATGCAGAGGGAGTGAGAGCCTGCAGGAGCAGGTGCTGCACCACGGGAGCTGTGACAAAGTGCTGGGCACGGCCTTGGTCCCTGTCTTATTGGGGTCCATGTGTTCCCTGAGCTCAAAAGAAAGCCCCTTTCACATCTTTTTCTGCTCTGAACAGAGCAGGGACAGAATGACCTCCAGAGGCCCCCTCAACACAGTCTTTTTCTAAGACTTTCTTCCGTGAATTTCTAATTTTATATTTAATGAGCAGAACAAATACAAGCTGTTGTTTCATTTGAGCAGAAAAACGAGTTTGTCTGAAACTCTTTGCTGGCAAAACAACCTGCTGGAATGAACTTGGTAACACACAGGGTTTTGCAATTAGTTTTGTAGGGCTCCCACCCTACCAGCTCACCTCATTTACTTATGTGCTACTCTGGCTGGGCTGGGGATTAACCACAGGCTGGGGATTAACCACAGAATTGCTCCTGGGTTGGGTTTCACTTGTCAGCTGCCCAGACAGAGATGTTTCCAGGTCTGACTGGAGTGTGGAAGAGCACGTTGTGTTTGCAGTGTGCCTTTGTTCATCAGCTGCCTTCTCATCCTTGGTGGTTTCCCTTCTCTATGAGCATCCATCTGGTGTGAAATATTTATAAAAAAACAAACTAAAAAAAAAAACCTACAAAAACCCACCCTTAAAGAATTAGCTCTTGGAAACAATGATTCCTTTTACAATGTTTTATCTGGTGTATCCAAAGAGCTCTTTCCTTGCATGTTTTCTAGAAATTTGCTCCATGGGGGTTTCCTGCTGGCACAGTGATCTCTATGGGGTCACTTCACTTTGCCCCACTCATGTTGCTGTATAAGTTGCAGGGTTTATTTTTATCACCTGCTCAGATTTTAATTTACTTACTTGCCATTAAAACTGGCCTGTCCTGCAAACACTTCACTAGCAATATATATACTGTTCATGTCATTCACCTCTCCCAGCTACTTTTGGAAGCAAAGATACAACTGGGCAAAGGCTGGTAAAACTGAAGGTTTGTCACCACCAGCAGGTTGCAGAAAAATATCTCAGTCCTGACCCCTCTCTGAGTTTCTTTGGGGAATTGTGCAGGACCTGCTTTCCAACTCAATCAGCTAGAAACCACCTGACTGATGGGAAGCAACAGCAACAGCAAAGAATCCATTCTTTTTTAACAGTTTTCTTCATTTCTTACATCAAAGAAATGAAGACTAGTAATTTACTATCTGGCAGTATGTGGAGATAATTTCTTCTTATGCTTAGTTCTTTAAATGACTGCAACTTTTCTATTTGCTGGGGAAGAGCCTGAAGTTCACTGCAACTAATATCCTAATAAATACATAATTAATAAAGGAACTGAACATCTTAAATTAAATTAAACAACGGAAAACTGTTATCAAAACTACCATAAAGCATACAATTAAAGAAAGAAGAAATCCCATCTTTCTTGGGTGTTTCACAAAAAGAAGTTGTACCACAACAAATCTCATTGTTTCTCCAGTACTTAGTGTATCAAGTTTCAGAAACTCTATTCAAGAAGTTAAATCATGATAAAAGACTGGTTCATAGATTAAAACTAGCCAAGGAATCAGGAGTTCCTGGTTTAGATCCCACATCAGCTAAAAATTTCTTGTGTTACTGCTGGCAAATGACTGGCCAGCAATCAGCTTCTTTCCTAAAAATTATTCTTCCTTAAAAAACCCTGTACCAGTCCATACAGCTAAAAATTTACTGAGAGTAACAGCAGGCTCACCAGCTTTTTGGAAACGAGCACTAGAGGGTGACAAAGCTGCACGAAATGAACACAGACTACAGCAATTTCTGGCACTAATGTAACATTTATTTTTGTAGTCCAGGCTGATTCAACAATCCCATGGATAGAGACATTCCTAACCCTTTTTTTATTCTAATTTGATGAAATGTTACTGTATCTGCTGCAGGTTCTTCTCTGTCCATGTGACTGAAGTTAAGATGGGATTCCCTTCCTGGAAGCATCTTTCTATTTCATGCCTTAGATGTCAACTTTCTTTTTTAATGTGTATATATAACTTATGTTCCAAGCAGGCATATCACAGGCACTGTAACAAACCCCTCTCTAGAATGTCCTTAATCTGTGTCATCAGGAATGCATTCTAGGTTTGACAGCTCTGCAAAAGGAGCCAAAATTACTACAACAAATCCTCAAAAACATTCACTTCCTGTAAACAATAGCAGGGATCCCACCTTGAAATGCCATGACACTGAAGTGAGCATAGTGAATTTCTCACTATATAATAAAAGACATTAGAAAATATTCACAAGCATTCAGAAAATCTCACAGTACTTGTAAATTAAAATAGAATGTTGATTTATAGTTCAGAAATTAGGTAATATGGAAAGAATTTCCAGGACATACACAGCTACTGTGGAAATGGGATAATGATGCCTTGCACTGACCACAGAAATCATGAATGCTGTAAAAATAATAAAAAAAGCCCTGGTCTAAGTCCCAGGTCAGTGAATAATTGTACATAGTGATTTGTGTTTATCCCTCATTTTTGAAACTCTACGATACATTACAGCTGCAATTTCAGCTCAAACACAAAGATGAAAAAACAGTAACTGAACTCAAATTTTGTGGTTCTATATTTAACTTTTTTTTTTTCTTTACATAGAAAATATCTTCTATAAGTTTACTTAGTACAGATTCTCAATCCACCAGTCTCAGCTTTCCAATTTTCTCATTGGTCCCCCCCAAGAGCCATCACAGCAAGGTCTCCCCACTGATCCTCCTGAGTATTCCCAGCAGTGCCAAGGCCACCAGAGCATCCCTTTCACATCACCTCCCCCAGCAGTTCCACAGCCCCCACCCTTCACAGCCCTCCCCTGTCCACTGCCCATCCCCAGTGGTCACCACAGCACAGACACCACAGTCTTGAAAACCCACGAGTGGTGCTGGGCAGTGCCTGCAGATCCTCAGGGGCTGCAGGGAAAATAAAAAGATCAGGGAGGAATCTTCCATGTCAGAGCAAAGGGAATAGGAGTGAGGGAGTTGCCTTGGAATGGGTTAAGGAACACTCACTAAAGCCTCAAAGACACTACTGCTCTGACTCAGAACACAAAAGGGGAGTGGTGAAACATAAATCAGAAGCTGGTTGCAATGTCCATGTCCAAGTCTCAGTTATCTGAATAAAATGAGGTACAATTGTTGGATTACTGGATGGAGGGGTGCTTGTGTCTGTTCCATGTGATCTGTACTTGTTGGGCGCTGTATATTTATCTGTCAAAATTAGTCTGGAGACTTAATTAGGAAATACTGAGGAAGGGACCATAAACCTACATTTTAATACTATTGTTGTGTGTTTGATAAGTAGAATATGCTTTTATGTATTGTTCCTCTTGAAGCTCCTTATGGATCCTTTTTTCCATGCTAAATTGGATATGTAAAGGAAATTCCTTCTATAAACAGTATGGGAGACTGGTCCTCAGTCAGTGAGAGACACCTGAGTCATTATTTGCTCAAAATAGAGGAACAGCCCTGTGATCTCTGGTTGATTTCTGTTTGGCTTTAAGAAGAAGCAGATTAGCCAGGATGAGTAAGAAGGTATCGAAGAGTGAATAGTTTAATTCTTTGGTACCATGTGGACTTTGGGTTCACTGTGTCCTTGCAAATGGATTGTCCTTCCAGCAAAAGAGTCCCATGTGCAAAATCACCGAATCTCAGAATGTATTGGGTTGGAAGGAACCTTAAAGATCGTCTTGTTGCAATCCCCTTCCCGTGGGCAGGGACACCTTCCACCAAACCAGACTGCTCAAAGCCGCATCCAACCTGCCCTGGAGCCATTCCAGGGATGGAGTTTGCAGGGGGCTCTGGGGAGCCGGTGTTAGTGCCTCGGCCGGGGCCGGCCCCGGACAAACAGAAAAAGGGATGTCAGCAAAATTAATCCACGAACGACAAAGGCTTAAGTCCGAAAAAGAGACAGTGGAGTCCTGCAATTTTATTCGAATAAAGGGAGAAAGTCCACTGGGGTACACGCCCGCGGGGTTTTCTTTCTCGAGGTTTCGGAGGGCGCAGCCTCCTTTTATCCCAAATTCCCGGGCACAGCTTTGCCCTCTTCCTTTCCCCGCTGGCCGAGGGCACCAGGAAGGTCCAGCCTTCCCGAACCGCCTGCCACATATTCCACCCCTGAACCTGTCAGAAACTCCAACTCGTGCAGAGCCGTGTCTGTTTCAGGAGCCAAGCTGTCTGGACTCTGCGGGAAACCTGCTGCCCAAAGTCAGCAGAGACACTGAGACCCGTTTGAAAGATGTTAACACCCGTACCTTCACCCATAGAATTGCTTGTAAAACATTAGCACGCATCTTCCGTCTCGGGGACAAAAGGACAAAGGGACAAGCGGTCCCGGCGCTGCGGCGGAGCAGCAGTGACTCTACCGACCCGTAACTTCTGCTCTTCCTCCTCCTCTCCCGCTGCCGCTCTCCCGCTGCCGCTCTCCCGCTGCCGCTCTCCCGCTGCCGCTCTCCCGCTGCCGCTCTCCCGCCCTCTGCGAGCCCGTCCCGCTGTGCCGCCCCTCCCGGGGGATTC